TGTGCTGATTATTGACGTAAACCAAAACCAAATCTAAACAAAATTTCTCATGTTATTCTCCCATTAATCTTCAATTGTCCCAGGTATGCCAAGTGTGTGTACCTGTAAGCACAGCAGCTTAGTCCTGGTCCCCAGACCTGTGCTCAGGCCTGTAAATAAACAGTTAGAGGTCCCCTTTAAGCCTGGGCCCAAAGTACAGAGTGGGGCCAGCAATCAAAAGCAGTTCAGTGGTTTTTACACTGGCCCAAGCCCTGGCACAGGGCAGGGTGGACAAACAACCAGTCAGGAGCTCAAGCCTGGTGGCAGGCTGAGCAGTAGTTTATGAGGGCTATATCCTTGAGCAGGGCAAGGTAGGGCAGGACAACAAACTGTTTATAAACAGCAGTCTACTCAGCTAAGGGCACCAGGCCCTCAGCAGGTGCAGCCAAATAGTTTATCCAGCCCTGCTCTTGTTCAGGCCTGTCTGCAGGCTGAAGTGGGAGTCAGGTCTCCTCGCTGGCCAACAGCTGATAAGTGCAGGGGGGTTTACCCCCTACTGGGGGAACCTGCCACCCAAGGGGGAGTGACGGGGGAGATGCAGGCCCACTGCATATCAGCCCAGGGCCCTAACAGTGGCAGTGCAGGCTGCCACAGGTCATTGGGAATCCTGGCCGCCTGGCCGCAACACACCAACCAGGTCAGTTACTCAGTGGAGATCCTGGCCACAACACACTGCCTAATTGACCTCTCCCAGGCTGCTTCCCAGTTCCCCCAGGGGCCTACCTGACTCTATGACTGTTCTGTGGGGTCTGCTGGTACGAAGGTGCTAGTAGCATGTCCATGGGCTCTGGGTCTAGCTCAGGTAGGGGTCCCAGTGGATCTGCCCAGTCTTCAGGGCCTAGTGAGGGTTCTGGAGGTCCTGGCAAAGCTTCAGGCCTTGGCAGCAGTCTTAGGGACCCAGACCAGTCATCGGGGCCTGGCAGCAGACCTAGTGTCTTGAGCCAGTAGAAGCCCTGGAGGCCCAACCCAGTTCTCCCATCAAGAGCAGCACAGCTGGGCCTGCCTTCTCAGAACTTAGGTAGAGCATGTGGCCTGCTCAGCAGCCAGGCTCCAGCTGAGCTCTGCTTTTTATACTCCTGGCCCCGCCTTCCTTCCTTCTTCCTATGTGCGGGGCTGGGTGAGTCTGGTCCCGCCCACACCAAGGGGTCTTAAAGAGCCCTTCCTCTTCAGGGTCAGAGGGAGGCCATGCTGCTGTCCCAGACTCGCTACAGTGCTGCATAAATAATAAATCGCTCATGGACAATTTTCATTGGCTCTGAGTCTGTGATTCTGAGGAGTGTTGTAAGCTACTCTGGATATAAACATCTGATGCTTCTACCACAAAGAAAACAGCCTACAAGTTTGTGAAGGGGTATAAACACGAAAGAGAGTAATTGCTGAGGTTGTTTTAAAGACAAAAATTATCAAATGAAAATTTAGAAATTTTATCCTGATATTCAGCCTAACCTTAAGGTCTGCTAGCCTATGGAATAACCGCTGAAAGTAGACTTATGGAAGTCTCTTCACTTGGATCATTTAAAACTGGACTGCATAAAATAAATGCTGTGCACAAGCATATGCTATGCTTCAGTGCAGTCAAATGACTCATTCCATAAATATTTTGCATCCTTAACATCTACAGACAAGGCTTTGAAACAACCACTATGGATATGTATGTCACAGTGGCACTTCTTTAAAAACAGAGGTGGTTTGCAATACCCCTTTTCTGCTTCTTTTCACACCCACAGCCAATCAGCCACTTGTGTATTCAGAACTGTAGTTTCCTGAGGCTGTTGTAAAAGACCAAGCTTAGGCAGCTGCTTCCCTACCAGCTGGTAGCAGAAAGAGCACACCCAAAGATGGAGCTGTAACCACCCGGGAGGTGCTGTGTGTGCCACATTCCCTGACAGCAGCTGCAAGGTATTGTAAGAGTAGCGGCAGCTGCCCAAGAATGGTAGTCCACCCTATTGCATGACTTCAGACCTCAGAAAGAGATGCTAGCTCAACCTAGTAAGGAACCCCAAGATCCCATTACACGGCTCCTGGCACTACTGCATGGAATCCCAAGGAGGGATATGAAGCCCTTGTGAGTGACCCCAATACCAATGACAGTGCATCTATGAATTTTGGTGATCCTTCTCCATTTTGTCTAGACAGTTAAGTGTGCCCAGCATGGCATCTGTATACAGCTATATTGTACTGAGCCTCTTGGTGTTGAGTGGGCTGAGCAGGATCACCTATTTTCTCCCTAATTTGGTCTCTGTTGCCAGGGTGACTATCAATGTAGTTAGCCAGAGTGAAAGCACTTCAGCAAGGAGGATGAGGAATAGCTATTCCAGAGACATTGAAAATGAGCTTCCTACTGTAGAAAAAATAGAACACAAAATACATCATATAGACCAGTGAGAAAGCACACAGCCTTACAAGATTTCACTTTAGGGTCACACACTTGTATGCTTCCATAAGAAGAGCACATTGCACATACCAGGGGTTTCCTGTATCCCTCTCATAAGCTCTTTACATACCACCACCCCTCCCCTCTGTTTCATATATTCCCTGACACTTCCCCCATTGAGTGTATCGGGGGCTTAAGATTTGCTGCTTCGGGATACTATGTTCTTGGATAAGTGACGGCGTCTGTTTATTTAAATGCATATTTAAGAGATTATGAAGGACCCCCACAGGTAGGAAAGGAATTCATTTTAGTAGCAGTATAAATCTAAATAAGTAGAAGGTTGGAGGTAGTGAATGCTTCTACACTGTCAGCTGCTGTTGTCACTTGGCAAATCTAAATCTGTAGTGTTAAATGCCTGTGCTGTGGGCTAGATCCAGCATGCCTGAGCAAGTCTTTCTTCCAGTAGAATTTTAGCCTACACAGATGTAAAGAAAATCTTTTCAATACACTCCATTCATGTTGACTTAGTTGCTATTTCAGGCTGTCTGCTTATGACAGATGCCATCATACTACTAACTTCCCTTCACCCATTTATTTATTTGAGATATCATCACTAATTGTGACACTTTACATTTAAATATTAACAATTTAGTTGCCAAAAACTTCGGGAGATGGAGAAGGGAACTGAGAATTGCTGCTAGAAAGGGATCAGAGAGGAAAAACAAAAGCAAAAACAAAAACAAACCACACAGAAAGAGAATGGGGAAAAGAGAAAAATGAAAGGGAAAAAGAATAAAGTGGTCGTAAAGGAGAGCATATTTTCTGTCAGAGTAATGCTGAGTGCACTAACAGGGCACTTAAACGAAACTATAATTTAGTTGCTACATAAAGGGCATATTGTTCCTTAGAGTTCTATTTAAACTTCCCATTCACATCAGTAGAAGATCTGCCAGGGACTCACGGTAATTTTCAGTCCTAACTTTATACCAGAGCCCATAGATCACAAGTACAGATTGAACCTCTCTCGTCCAGCACTCTCTAGTCTGACAACATCCATGGTCCGGTATGATTTGAGTTAACTGGATTTCCACTTATTATGGGTGTGGCCAAGATTCCCACAGTTCCATAAAGCAATAGAAGTGTTGATAATGCTGCTAAACAATATTGACCTGCCATGGTCCAGCAAATTCTCTGGCTTGGTACTGATCAGTTCAACCTATATATGAAATTTGGTTGTATCCACTGAATGAGACAGCTCTTTGGGCTTGAATTTTTCTGGCATTATCTGCTTTGGTTGAAAAGTTTGTCACCTGTTGCTTTCCAAGCAACTCTCACTGATGGCAAATATAAAATTACTTTGGATTTTACTTGGACTGGGATTCTTCATTTATAGTCTGGTATGAAGCTACAAACTCTGCCATGAAGTCTCTAGGGGTTTCATGCCAGTCTCAAGCCTGGATAAAGGAGGAGAGTTGGTCAGATGAGTATCAATGTGCTGATTGTAAAATAATAATACGAATGAAATCTCATGCCAGTACGACTAAGCCGCTTGAAAATGTGTGTATTTAGTGCATTTTGTATGGATGTGAGACATGGGTGACAACGAAAGATTCAAAGAGAAGGATACTGGCATTTGAGATGAGTTGTTATAGAAAGATCCTGAGAATAGGATGGATGCAGAAGGTCACCAACAAGGAATTATACAGGAAGATACAGCCGAAAGACAACCTGCTGCAGAAGGTTATACAACGGAAGTTACAGCTATTCGGGCATAGCTGCAGAATGAACAATGAGGGAAAAGTTAAGACCCTGGTATTTGTGTAACCCCCAAGGAGATTACTTGGATTCCTGGGGCCTTGTCTGCTGGCAGCTCAGGGAGAGGCACTCTGAGTTTGCCTTGGCTCCCCCTTCCTACCAGGGCCAGAGTCTGCCAGACAACCCATAGGGAGTGAGATGCCCCTCCCAGGGGGAAGGAGAGACCATTGTTGAGGGGAGTCTGGAGCCAGCCAGGGAAAGGGGAGGACTGGCTGTGTGGGAGCTAGTAAGCCCTGGGCCTGCATGCAGGGTTCCCCCTGAGAACTAGCCTCTAGGGACCTGAAGGCAGGATCCCTCAGCTGGGTTTATGTCTCCCCTGTTGATTCCCAGTTGTGGAGTTTGCTGGGAGGTTTCCCCAGCCAGGCTGAGTAGGCTCTTCAGCTCCCTGGGTGAGACAGTCACCGCATGGTCAGCTCAGCTCTAGCAGCAAGTTCAGGGCTGCTGCCTGCTGTGTAGGTCTGAATGCTGGGTTGGGAGGCTATAGTTTGAATTTTGGTGTAGTTGTGTGGTCTGCATCTTGAGCCCTGCACCCCTTCACGGTGAGGGGAAATCCTGGGACCGAAGCAGCCTGATTCCTGCCTGATGAGTACCCCTGTCAGTAGAGAGCAGCCCTTTGCAGAGACTGAGTCATCTCTCAACCTGAGGTCATTCATGGAGTGTGTGAGTGCACCAATTTTTAGTTAGTCAGGCAGGGAATTTGTTTGGGGATTTTATTACCTGCAGCCTATTAAACTGTGGAGGGATTTACTGCCTTCTCCCATTTGTGAGTCCTTTGGGCTGTACTGGACCTAGTCAGCTTCACTGCTAAACCACTGCAGAGAAGGATTTTGTGGTCAACAGTCATCAAGGGCCCCATCAAAGTATGTGTACCAACGGGACACTAACCTCACAGTTGCTGGGCACCGGTGACCCTAAAAATAGTGTTTTACCCTGTTCTGTTATAATTGTCTCTTGTTTAATATAATTGTGTTTATTATAGTGTATGTGTTTGTGCTATTTTCTGGGAGTCTCCAACTATCTGGTAAATACATGGGGATTACCCTGGGCTAGAATTTTCCTCCCAAGCTGCCCTGGTGACTCTGCTAGGAAGGAGTGAGGGGGGTGGAAGCACTGCCAAGTATATCAATCAGAAAGATTAAAATTGAGTGGGTGGCGGGATCCAGAAGAACCCAGACCTATCCATCCAAACCTGAAAGGAGATTGGCTTTAAAAAAAGGTAATCAGGTGGAGAGGGGGTGCTACATTTGGCATAATGGAAGATAATTAATTAATTTGAAGATAATTAAGAATAAGATCCTCCGGAAAAGGGCGCTTTTTCCGGAGGATCGGGGCCAGTGTAGACGCTCTTTTCCGGCTTTTCTAAAAGCCGGAAAAAAGCAGCGGACATTTTTATTTAAATGCCACGGGGGATATTTAAATCCCCCGCGGATTTCCCTATTACGACCTGT